ACGTGGAGTTCCTCTCGGAAAAGAGAAAATGTTTGGGGGCGAAGAAAAAGCTGACAGTGCGTGGAATGATAAAGTCCACATCATTATACCTCCGTATTCTGCTAAAGAACAAGGCAAGCAAAATGAATTCGTTTTGACACAAGTTTTGGACAACTTGTAGCCTACAAAGAAGTTTGATATGACTATGGAGTTTGATATAAGCACTTTTAGTAATTAATATGTGATTTGCCAAAATTTATATAACTGTAATTGGAGTAAGTACAGTTTCTTCATATTTATCATACGTTCTAAGTTTAGGTTCCATAATAGGAAATTCTATACTTCCTCGCGAATTTGGTATCAAAAATAGTGCTGAGGAAATGCATCTTTTATCAAGTACTTCACAACAGGAAATACATCCCCAGTCCTTTCGAAACGCACGGTCAACGCGACCGGCACCTGCTCCACCGGTGGCAATTGGCGTAAAATTGAAACCACCAATTCCAGCACCAAGACGATTTCCATCAGTTACACGAGGAAGTAAACAGGTTACAATGGCTTGCTATACTCCATATCGTAGTTCTTATTCTAACTGGATGAAAATGCTACCTTCTAATTTGCAAACTTCATTTAAAACAATAAAATTAAAATATTTTCACATCTGGGAAGGAGTCCAAAAGATGGTATGGATTCCACTTTGCTTTTCGCTCTGAGCAGTTTTTAAATTCGTTTGAAATGCCAATATTTATCTTTATTTAATATGAAAACCTGGTCACAATGAAATCAGATCTTTAAGGATTTTTAATCTGTTTTTATCACTACATGGTTTTTGTCTTATAATTTGAAAAATTTTTAACACGAAATCTCTCGTTAATACGTTTTAGATAATTATTTAGGTATTATCATTATTAATTACTTTTAATATGGGTTAATCATTCTTAACAAGTTGGAGATGATAAAATTCGGAATCATAAGCATCTGTACAAGTAGTAATAATTTTAGCGAGACTGTTCAAGACGTTGCCGAGCTTTATATGACTGTAAAGCTGATAATCCTGATGAGTTATCATTTCGACAAGGCGACATAATAGTTGTTACTAAAGAAAAAATTATGGGTGAAAATGATACGTGGATGGTAAGCTTTTTTTTTTCTTTGAAATTATTACAGTGTTCTAGAATTATTAAAACTGTAACATTCTAAAAAACTGCTTAATTATGAGCTTTATTTTTCATCATATACCACCCACATTAGTTTTTTGATTCAGTTTATTGAACTTAAAAATTACATTTTGATGCGGCATGAGATGTTTAAGAGCGTATGATTTCGTTTAAGCATGACATTTAATTCTAGTAATTGATTTTCAGGAGGGATATTTGGAAAATAATCCGCTTTGCAAAGGTGTATTCCCAATTACTTTCGTAACCTTTCTCTCTTGAATATTCTCTATTTTCCATGTCATCATTGGAATTATTCTGTCGTCATTTCGACCGCAAATCATAGGCTTTATTGTCACATATCGCCTACATTAATTTTATCTATGGATTTGCTTGATAAAACTGCTTACTTACCACTAAAAGAGTTTTGACTTCAATCCTATTTAGTGACTAAGTTGTTTTTGCAAGCATTTTGTTAAATTATTTTGATCCGTTAGGATACATAGATTAATCAGACGTATAGAAATGTGTAGTATTTTTCATAGCTTTCAGTGTTATTGAGTTTCGCATTTGCTGTAATTATTCATAAACAATTAGCACTCAAAATAATGTGACTGGAATTCAGTTAGTTTGTGCTTTTCGTGTAGGTTATGATTTTCTATCGTAATGCCAGTCTATCTTGTTTATCCCCTGCTCACTGTACAATTCTATCTTCCATTCTCTACTTTTTACTTCCACTTATTACGTATATTTGCCATTCCATATTTTTGGATTCCGAAATTTATACAGTGTCATGTAAAATAAATAAAATGTATACTGTTTGTCATTTAATAAACTGGGATAGCTCCGGTTAGTTGCAAGTATTTCAGAGTTACGAGTTTTGATATTCGATATATTAGAAAGATATGACATGCAACAGAAATTATTTTTTGAGCGAAGTAATCACTTCATAA